AAATGGTGTATTCGCTGTTAGCTTACGACCTCCACGAGTAATTTTTCAAAAATGTGCTCCTCAATTTAGCATCATATTGGATAGGGGCTGAAGTTGTCCTGGATTGGAATTTTTCCGATCATTCCCCTAGGAGGAGTTCGCAAGAATGTGCTTAAAATGGCGGAAAAACGCAAATATTTCAAAATGGCCGACTTCATGGGGGGCGGGGCTAATAAAATGTATTTACAAATATGTCCGCAATTCCATGAGGGATGTCTGTGCCAAAATTCGTGAAGTTCTGAGAAACTATATGTGACTACCACACAATAGGGGGCGCTAGTGAGCATTGTTTTTGAAAATGTACGTTTTTTTTTTACATTCTCGTAAAGGTCGTGGGCTCTGACGTGTGTCCCAAGTTTTGCGTCCGAAGCTCATTTTATGCTATCGCAATTTCAAAAAAAAGTATAGGCCACGCCCACATTCTGGATTTATTGCGACACTTTATATCTCAGTTTGTAGTCACCCCCAGAGTATGTGTAAAAGATAAATAAAAAGATTCGTCCATCCGTTCTTGAGTTATAAATTGGTGGTGTTTTTGGCGCTCCCTATAGTCCAAAATATAAATTATTTGGTGTGCCTATTCCCCAACACAGATTGAACCTATCTACCAAAATGTGTGATGTTTGGATACATTGTTGATGATTTATGAGCATTTATTTCTAAGCCCCGCCTTATTGCGTGTACGTTTTGATTGACGGCGGCAATATTTATCGTCCTAACATGCTCATTTTCTACGGTAATGTGTCTGACCCGCCACCGATGCTGTATACGAAGTTTGGTGTTGAAAAACTGAAAATTGAAATTTAAGTGAATATTTAACTGTTTTGAACATTATGCTAATTAACAAAAAAAAGAGGTTCCATGAAGATTATTTGTAAAGCAGGTCCACCCGGATATGTGTGCAAAATGTCAGGTCATTTGGAGTTACGGTGCGACTTTGTACATTTATTCCGAAATGGGTTTTTCATAGGTGGCGCTAGCGAGCACGTTGGAATATTTAACCCATTGACTCCAGAATATTGTATTTTTCACCAGTCCAGGCGTCCGTGCAAAATTATACAACTTTGTCAGCGTCCTAAAAGCCTCAAAAACAGGAAACGCCAACAGAAAAATAATAATTCCACCAATAACAATAGGTGCCTCGCACTTCGTGCTAGGACGCCGTTGGGTCCTAGCGCTCCGTGCTCGGGCCCTAATTAAAGCTGCCGAGCAGCGATGAGCGGTTCTTCGACGCTCCATGCAGTTCCGCTGTTGTCCACACGTCGACGTCACGCAGATGTTCTCCGGACTTGGCCGTATGCAAACATGGGAAGTTTCGGGCTGATCGGAAAATGTACATGGGAGTTACAGCAGTGACATAAACATGGTGTTTCATGTCGAGTAATGTGTCACCATGGCAATGACATATGATGACACCCCATAATAGGCTTAGACAGTGATGTAGTGGGGATTTTTTTACTGGGTGGACAGGGTGGAGGACGGGGTGGTGGACGCCACCCAGTAAAAAAATCCCCACTACACCACTGTGACAGACACTGTGCACGTGCTCGTGAACTGTCAACGGGTAGGGTGGGGTCACTGTGTGTGGACCTCTGTGTCGCCTGTCAGCGAAACTTACATGATGCCGTTTAGACAATATAATAATAAAGGGCGGTGCCGGCTGTCAGCCAACCGATCCAGCCTTTCTGCGCGACTGTCACTCAATCAATCAATCAATGTTTAGTTATAGCCCAATATCACAAATGTTACATTTGTCTCAATGGACTTCACAGTTTGTACAGAATATCAGTATGACAATACGACACCCTCTGTCCTTAGACCCTCACATCGTACAAGGAAAAACTTCCGGAGAAAACCCACAGTTTAAAGGGAAAAATGGGAGAAACCTCAGGGAGAGCAACAGAGGAGGGATCCCTCTCCCAGGACTGACAGACGTGCAATAGATGCCGTGTGTAAATTGAAAAGATAATACAGGGCCGTATCCAGGATTTCCTAAATACCGAGGTCCAAACATGCTAGGGGGTTTCGGGGGATACCTCCCGAGATTTTTGGGATTTTCATGATCTAGTTAGGTGCTTTTTAAGTCCTGTGGGGGGTCACAACATGGATAATATATCGATTTCAAACCATGTCAGTGGGCTGACAATGTCAGCATAAATTATTTTTGAAAGTGTAATGCATAAGAATCAGTTGATTGTTACTATTAATGATCTGGACACGCAGAAGAGGCTAAAATGATCACAACACATTGTCAACATTCATTTTCCATGTCTCTCTCCTTTCCATAACCTGCAGCCTCTCTTCCATCTTCTTGAGTCTCTCTGTCTTCTTCCTGTTCATTACTCTCTCTGTCCTCTACTCTTTCTCTTTGTTCAACCTCTCCCTCGTTCACTTTTTGCTCCTCCTCACTTGTCGCTCCTGCCAGTGAATTAAAAGCAATTCAGCCATTTAGTTAATTTCACTTGTTTGTTTGCATTATTGTTTTTTATTTAAATCAGTTTTGTTTGATTCTCAAAAGAGAACAAAGATGTAAGCAAATTGTGTTTTATAAAATGGTATGTTATGACATCATAACTGCAATAGATATATTTTGTTTTACAATTATGCCTATTGTAAATGAAGACTATTGTTATAGATAGATAGATAGATAGATGGATGGATAGATAGATAGGGTTATTAAGCCTACATTATTGTGTGTGACTGTACCTGCAGTTCCTCCCTGACTTCCATCACTTTCTCTCTCTCTGTCTTTCTCTCTGCCTGTCCTGTCTCTTCCTTACCAAAGCTGAGCTTCGACTGACGTCTTTTCATTATATCTGAGTCAGTGTAAAAAGAAAACAATACAATGTTATATCTTCAATGTTTTACTCAAATTGAAATGAAAGAAAAGCATTGCAACGTTTGTTAAAAGGTAATCCTTCTGACATTGGATGAATCTAATTAACTGTAGCTCTCTAGCTAGTTTATTCACGCAATTTAAACCAAAGTATAGCCTATAGCTGCAATATAAGTTAGTGTGCATGTTCTCGGACGTCCACTGACTAACGTAGAGCATTCACACAGGATCTGCTGGTCATATGATGTCCTCTGAGGAACAGAAACACAAGCAGCCCGCTGGACTCAGATCTCTAGATACCTCATCACTCTTCCGCTGCTACGGCTACGGTGGTTTGTTGATACATGTCTTTTTCTTTTGTTTGCTTTAATCGAGGCTACGTAGTTATGCAGCGCCCCCATCGTCAGTAAATGGAAGTACTACAAAGAACCCCGTTTAGTGCAATTATTTCACAAGTTTTGTTATATACACAGCTCGGAAAAAATTACCGAGGTCCTCAATGGTGGATACGGCCATGAATGCATTTGCAACATAGCAGGTAGTCCAAATGTTTGGAAACTCAAATGCGGGATATAGTCTCAATTTGTGGGACGCGGGACAAATAATAAAAATGCTTTCTGTGTGTGCAGTCCCGCAGTCAGGGACAACTGGTCACCCTACACACGGTGCTGACCCTCACACACACACACACACACACACACACACACACACACACACACACACACACACACACACACACACACACACACACACACACACACACACACACACACACACACACACACACACACACACACACACACACACACGCTTCAAATCAAGTTGCATAAATGCTTGAGCTACGTTTTTATTATAATTACTGTGAAATCTGCCTATTATGTTTTCGTCATTATTACAACAAATACACACTTGCAACTGATAACACTGCAATGATTTTATATTTATTAGACTATTAAAAAAAAAAATCATGCTTCAAATAAGTGGGGGTACGGCGTACCCCCGCGTCCAACATCCACTACACCACTGGGCTTAGATGTCTTGAGGTCTCTATCGTTATCAAACATGTGAACGTTTTGAGCCGTTTGGAGCATGTTCACTGGAGTTACAACAACATCGTGTTTCATGGTGAAGGATCTGTCGCCACGGCAACGGCATTTGCCGAAATCTCAAAACTGAAATGTAGATGTCTTCAGGGCTGGACCGTTAGCACAGAAGTTTGAGCGTTTGATTTGCTTCATGACTAGCCGCTCAAAGCACTGTGGAAGTCAGCGCTACGGGGGCGGTAGTCATTGAAGCAGGAAGGTGATGACTTCTTCGGTACAGGTATGATGGTGGTTACCTTGAAGCACGAGGGAACAACAGCCTGGCTCAGGGAGATGTTGAAGATGTCTGTGGACATCTGTGAGCTCAGCTATGCAGTCCTTTAGCACACGACCAGGAATGTTGTCAGGCCCAGAAGCTTTCCGGGTGTTAATCCTTAACAGTGTGCTCCTCACACTGCCTGGGGACAGACATATAGCCTGGTCGTTGGGTGGAGGCGTTGTCTTCTGTGCAGGTGTGCTGTTCTGTGCTTCAATACACATTTCACGATTTTGAGAGTAAGTGACACAACATAAACAAGTATTTATGTTTTTTACTGGTCCATATCCACCTCTTTGGGCCTATGTGAACATTCATTATCTACAAGGTGAACATGAACATGTCCCTTGAAGAAAGCACCGTTAAACTATCCACTGTGTCTTTTCAGAGAGAAACACAAATAAATAATATATTTTAAGTGCTCGGCTAAATTACATAGTTCGGGTGAAAAATAGGAGCATTTGATTAAAGGGGACCTATCATGCTAAATGCACTTTGTGATGTCTTTTATACATAAATATGTCTCACGCAGCATCAGAAAATAAAACCCTCTCTCTTTTCCTCCGTACCCAAATCTTTTAAAAACGGGTGTACAACGAGCGGATACAGATTTGCTGCCGGTCTGACGTGAAATCGGCAGCGGACCCAAATACCTTTAACAAAAGGCTCAGCCAAGTACACAACGTTCATCACACCCTTTGGCCGATACCACTTCAATCGGCTACCTTTCGGCATAGCCTCAGCCCCTGAGCATTTCCAAAACAGGATGAGAACTGAGGTAACCGAGGGACTAGAGGGGGTTGTCTGTCACATGGACGATGTACTGGTGTGGGGCCAAACACAGGAGGAGCACGACGCTCGTCTGTATGCTGTGCTGGAGAAGATCCAAAAGGCAGGAATCACCTTGAATGTGGAAAAGTGTGACATATCCAAACAGGAGGTGACATACCTGGGCCATGTGATCACTGCTAGTGGCATTAGACCAGACCCGAGCAAGACAGAGGCGGTAAGGAAAATGGAAGAGCCGAAAAATGTGAGCGAGCTGAGGAGCTTTCTAGGCATGGTCAACCAGCTGGGGAAGTTCATACCGCAGCTAGCAGAGCGAGACAAGCCACTTCGAGACCTGCTCTCCAAGAAGAACTGCTGGCTGTGGGGCATCGATCAGGCCAGAGCCTTCCAAGATCTGAAAGACTCTCTGATATCTCCACCAGTGCTAGCCATGTATGACACAAACAGAGAAACCAAGGTCTCAGCAGATGCATCATCATACGGCTTGGGGAGTGTGCTTCTGCATAAATGGGAAGAGGATTGGAGGCCGGTAGCCTATATGTCACGTTCTCTCACACAGACGGAGCAGAGATATGCACAGGTAGAAAAGGAAGCTTTAGGCTTAACCTGGGCTTGTGAAAGGTTTCGCAACTTTCTCATCGGTAGACACTTTGAGCTGGAAACGGATCATAAACCTCTACTGAGTCTCCTGGGGTCTCAGACATTGGATGCACTTCCCCCACGGATTCAACGTTTCCGGATGCACCTGATGCGTTATTCCTACTCAATCACACAGGTGCCAGGGAAAAGCCTGTGGACGGCTGATACACTGTCACGTGCACCTGTGAAAAGAGACTCCACACCAGATGAAAAAGAGTTCCTCGAGAGCACGAATATCTATGTGGACATGATTATCGATGGTTTGCCAGCAAGCACAGCTTACCTGGAAGAGCTAAAAGAGCAGTTGGCAAAGGACAGTGTGTGTGGAAGAGTGATGCAGCTGTGTGAAGAGAAATGGCCAGCACACAGCAACAGCGAACCAGCCATAAAGTTATACTGGGCGGAACAAGCGTTCATAACCGTAAAGGACGGACTACTGTTAAAGGGGGACAGACTCGTCATCCCCACAACAATGAGAAATGATGTGCTCGCCAGACTACATGAAGGTCACCAAGGAGTGGTGAAGTGTAGGGAGCGTGCCCGACAGTCTGTATGGTGGCCAGGGCTAAGTCAGCAGCTGAATGAGTTGGTTCTCAACTGCCGGACATGCAGCAAGGAGAGACAGAACCCCAAAGAGCCGCTGATGCCAACACAATACCCAGGCCGACCATGGCAGAAACTGGGTGCCGACTTGTTTATGCTGGGAAGCAAGTCATATCTGCTGGTAGTGGATTATGCATCAAGGTATGTGGAAATGGATTTGCTGACACCCACAAGATCAACAGATGTAATCCACCATCTCAAATCCATCTTTGCACGACATGGTATCCCTGAGACGCTGGTCACAGACAATAGGCCGCAGTTCTCGGGAAGGGCATTTGAAGAGTTTGCAGAGTCGTATGGATTTAAACACGTCACCAGCAGCCCGAAATATCCACAGAGCAACGGTGAGGCAGAACGGGCTGTAAAGACTGTGAAGAGTCTCCTTAAGAAAGCAGCAGACCCATATCTGGCTCTGCTGGCTTACAGAACCACCCCACTACAAAACGGGTATAGCCCTGCGCAACTTCTAATGGGGAGGAGGCTTCGCACGACGGTGCCAACATTACCAGCGCTGCTGGATCCTGCTCTTCCCGACAGCGAGGCTGTAGTTCTGCGAGAAAGAGAGAGGAGAATAAAGGATGCACAGCGGTACAACCTGCGTCATCGAGTGAGAAGTCTCGAGAGGCTTGCACCGGGAAAAGAGGTTTGGGTCACGGATCAGAAGGCGAGTGGAACGGTTATGGGAAGTCACAACACGCCGCGTTCCTACATTCTTGAGGGACCTTGGACAGTCCGGCATAATCGCCATCATCTCATCCCCATGTACTCCTCGTCAGAGCAGAGTGGCAGGGATGCAGCTGAGCAGCATTCAGGAGGTGTTCCAGAGCAGCGTATTGCAGAACCTCCGGAGCCCGGTGCTCAAGATCTGCCACCTACCCCGAGAACCAGGTCTGGGAGAGCCGTGGTGAGACCGGCTAGGTTGGACTTGTTAACAAACCAGAAGCCTAAGAGATATTATAGAGAGTTGTATAAGAGAGTAACAAAAAAAAACTGGTTATTATTAATGTTGTGCATTAATGTTGTGTAATACACAAAATATCATAGGGTTACATTTAGTTCATGAAGGTCTGGAGTTAACTGTTATTTTATATCTGGTTCAGATAGGAACAGACCTTCCACCCTAAAGAGGCAGAATAATCCTCTAAGGCAGTGATTCTCAAATGGGGGCACGCGGACCGCTAGGGGTATGTTGGGGTACTGCAGGGGGTAGGCTACGTGAGATTTAAAAAAAGAAAAAAAAGGTCAATAAAAACCCATGCATGATTACAAAAATAATCTTAGTACCATAAATTAAATAGAAAACACAATTGTATATAACATATTCACCAAGGGGGTCCTCATATAAACATGTCAAATGTGTGTATTGTATTTTATAGTTTTTCACAATATATCATTTTATTCATTAGTTTGTTAAACATATATTACTTCAGTTGAAAAACACCTTGGAAAAATCTGTTTTAGAAAAACGTTATTTTTTTTCATGCATAAAATGAAAATATCCTTAGTTTGTTGTAATTCATGCATGAAGGAGTTAATAAATCACACACTGAGGGAACATCACTATATTGTAATTATTTATATAGGCTTTTTCGATCAAACATTTTTGGGGTCGGTCAGGGGGTACTTGGCTGAGAAAATGTTTCAAAGGGGGTACATTACTGAAAAAAGTTTGAGAAGCACTGCTCTAAGGTCTGTGGAGTCAATGGCAGTCTACCCATTGATTCATAAAAAGGGAGATGTGGTGTTATTGTTTATGTGTGTGTGTTAGCCAATAGGAGTGAAGCCTTACAGGCACGGTTCAGTGACGTCATAGGCAGACGACATGTTATGGTCACGGAGCATGTGAGCTCGGTGTGTGCTAGCATGTGGGCTACCAATAAAGAGACCTATGAAAGAGACACGTAATTGTGACAGTTGGACTCACGTGTATTATTGAATAACACGACACCTTTGATGATCAAATCACTTAAACACAAAGTCCATCCTCCTGTCCTTTTGGATGAAGCACTTGATGGCGGGTCATGCAGCTGATCCTTTGCCACTCCAATTTATCATTGTAACTCAATCTTGAAAATGGCTCGGTTAATAATTTCGCAACGATGTCATCACTATCACTGAAGTGAGCCATCATGAACGAACTTATGCTAATTATAAATCTATCGATCATAAATCTATCGATTAGATTTATGATTAGAAAATTATAATAGTAGGGTAGACATGTGGATATTATCCAGCTGAACAAAACATGCATTTATCTAACAGGTTCGTTTTCCACAGACCTTATTTCGAGCTATTTTCCAAAATCCTATGGAGAAATCCCAATGCTTTTTTGTCGAGGGAACCCGAGCGCAGCTTACTTCCGGGTTTTAGGACGTGTCACGGCTGTCACTGCCCGATCTGCAGCTCTGCCCGATCTGTAGTGCGCATGAATGTAACTTCTGTTAGACAGCCATATGCCATACATTTTTGCACACATTCACAGTAAATATGTATTCAGTATGATAGCTGTCTAACAGAAGTTAAATCCATTTCTCACTTATTCTGACAATGTACTTAACCCCAAATAAAAGAACCCAATAAAAAGAGTTGTTAAATAATAATGAAGTCACGTCGTAATAACAATAACTCATCTCTCTCGAGTTTTATTTTTGAGCTTTGCTAAAAGCCACTGCGTCAAGTGTCCAACTTGGGTTGCCGTCCGGAGTTGTCCAATATGGACAACTCCGGACGGCAACCCAAGTTCGCATGTGCGAGACTATACATCTCGCACATGCGCACTGCAGATCGGGCAGAGCTGCAGATCGGGTAGTGACAACGGCAACACTTTAACACATGGGTTGCGTTCCAACAGTCCATTTAGCTTAGGAACCTTCCTAAACAAGTGAAATGACCCGGAAGTACGTCAGTGGCAGCCATGTTAAGTGCCGTTCCAATTCTCTAGTCTACATGAAAGGAAAGGAGGTTTCAAACTTCCTTTATAACCAGGGCTGCACATAACTGGTGCGCAGGTACGCATGCGCACCTCCGCCAAAAAAAGAGCACCGGGGTTGCGTTCCGATAATCCAAAAATCAGCTCCTAAATTCTAACCCTATCTCCTATTCCTTGACCTCTGAGTGAAACGTCACGGGGTTAAGGGATAGTGGATAGGAGAATTCAAAAGGACTTAGGAGAAGAGACCGCGGTACTTTAGAGAATCCGAATGCACTTTCACTATCCGACGTGTTTATGATGCGCCAGCGGACGTCATGAATGTGCGTCTGCTGCTGTGGGGTAACTATGGAAACTACAGTTTTCTATACAGCGGACTACAACATGGATGTTTAATAAGAACGAGGGACTACTGTAAACTCATCTAGAGACTCTGCACCGTGCTCTGATGCTGTTGCTTTATGCTTTATGAACGTGGACAACAGAGAAACATATTCTTCATGACCAAAGTTGGAATTGAAATAAAAAAGGAAAGTGAAACTTATGCTCGTCACCCTCTCCCTCCGGTCCACATTAATACAAATGATCCCAATACGTATGACTGTATGAACTAAAGATCTTAAAATAAATACAAATGTATTTATTATAAACGTTAGTCCTTAACATCTATCACTGTGTATATCACCATTCAAACATCTTTTAAAAGTTGAACAAACTCCACACAGCTCAGTGAAATGTTGACTTTATTTGATCATTTCAGTCAAAACTAACGTTCATATTTCTCTCTTTGATTATAATACTGATGAACGTTCAGAAAAAAGCACTTTGGCAACTTACCACATACGTTTTAAAATGCTTAATAAGCAGCGTAACTTTCATGATATCATTTCTCGGTCATAATCGGTTGTTTCCGTGACCGGCCGACTGTTGAGTGACGGTAAATGCTGCGGCTGCAATGCATTGTGGGGCAGCATTTTCTCCTCTCCTTTCGGTTAGGGAGGTCCAGTGGTAAAGCTAAAAGAGGTTATAAAGGAAGTTTGAAACCTCCTTTCCTTTCATTTGGAGAATTGGAACGGCACTTATCATGGCTGCCAGTGACGTACTTCCGGGTCATTTCACTCCGTTAGGAAGGTTCCTAAGCTAAATGGACTATTGGAATGCAACCCCGGTCATTTGAAACAAAGCGCATTTGCGTACCAACATTGAGAGAGGGAGAGAGGGAGAGAGAGAAGGGAGAAGATAAAAGAGAGAGGAGAGATGAGAGAGAAAGAGAAGAGAGAGAGAGAGAGAGAGAAAGATATTTGCAAGTTGCATACATGTATGAACCATGATATGAACTCAGGGTTGGCCCGTAGCACTGGCTAGATGTTCGCCTAGGGCGCCAGATCTGTGGAGGCGCTGCGCTGGCAGTTCTGGGAGGGAAAAAAACATTTTGACCGTTGGGGCTCATCCTAATTTTCGGCCTTGATGTAACAATATTCATAATTAAGTAAATGTAACACCCTTTTCACCCCGGTTACACGTTTCATTTGCCCTGTACGATGTTCACATCAAGCACGTCAATGTGCGTACACGTAACAGCACCGTGCGTTCATGACAGCATGGTAATGGCTTGTTGTTATCATGGATTTGATATGAACGAGGCGGCAGATAGCAGCTAGCGGCTAGCTAGTAATGATGCTAATGTACACACCAATCGTTATGTACTTATATTACGCTGTAACAGGATCTAGTGATATCCAACAGAGCTTCATTTAGCATGAAATAATTATTGCACTGTACCCTATATATATATATTTATATACAGTGCAATAAGCTTCTTAGTGCAATACGAAGCTACAGGGACGTTAATAATGTCGGTAATATTAACTTTATTTAATACAACATTTACGGTACAAGATTTAATCATACAGCCCATGTAGTAAGATAATGAATTACAGCAAACATGTGCAATATATCCATTATTACAGCTCCGTGGGATGGCAGTAAGACGATATGGATCCGTTCTTATTGTGCATCCATGGGTAAAGATAAACGCAACTCACATTGGTTTCTCATACAGCATCTCTGTAAACTACGTGTATTCACTGAATTTCACTCTCTGCCTTTAACGGCTCGTTGTAGCTCCAATAGCTCCAGCCCCACCCTCCCTGTGAGCACAGTGTGCTCTGATTGATCGGGACACGTAACATGAACGTGCCGGGCGGCGCGGTCCCGTGGGTTAGATGCGCGTTCATAATGCAGAGGGAAATAACTCTCAGAATAACGTTATTAGCAAATTGTTACAACTTGAGGAACGAATGTTTTTAATAAGGGCTATACAAGTGTTCATACTGGGTAGTTTATTTAGTTTTTAAAAAATTATCCAACGAGTTACAGACCACTCTTTCCCCATGTAAGTCAATGGGAAAAAGTGTTTCCGGGCCTGGCAACCAAACGGAAGTGTAGTACCGCCGTTTGGCCAGCACGAATATTTTCATCTGAGTCCGGCGCACTTCCTGGGGGCTTGGGTATTTCAGGCCGTAGTGCACCCCTTAGCAAACAAATCTATAGAATACTATAGAAGAATCTATGGACGAATTCTATAGAAATTTTCTGTAGAATACTACAGGATTTTTGCGGATATACTATAGAAATTGCCTACGTGTTTTACTATAGATTCTGGGAAATAATCTATAGAATACTATTACTATAGAAAATATATACTATGTAGAAAATAATCTATAGAATCCTATAGAAAACCCCATGGATGCTTTCTATACAACTTTTCTGTAGAATACCATTCTGTAGAATACTATAGAATTTGTGACCTATATTCTATAGAATCTGTGGACATTTCTATAGAACTTCTTTGAAGAATACTATAGAATGTTTGCAGATATTCTATAGATTTTTACCTATGGATTTTACTATGGATTCTGCAAAATAATCTATAGAAAAATCTATTGATGTTTCTATAGAATTTCTGTAAAATATACT